CGCTATGTCCATCAATTTTCATCCAGTGGCCTACCCCAATAAATACAATGAAGGACTTTCCCAGGAAGTAAAAAAGCAACAGAGATTTGTTGAAAGGGAGCCTGGATAATCGATTAGAACAGGTGGGATGCTGCTCCTTTTCCTAAGGGCCCTTTCTCTCTGCTGGTCTCTTCCTTCCTGCTTGCTTTTGATGGATGTCCAGGATTAAATAAATAACCTGGGAATGATTCCCATGGAATTAAAGGTCAACATTTACTGGCGCAGATCATTTTATTGAACTATGGGTAGATAATCCCCCAGTAAAAAGAAAAAAAGGAAAAAGAAAAGATGACATAGGAGGAGAGGAAGGAAGGTACAAGACGACAGTGGGCTGTGCTTCTCCATCTGTGGCGAAAGTCAAATCAATGCACTGCAAATAAATTTTCTATTATATTCTTTTAATTCACAAAACTATTTTCTTTACTTTGTACAATTTTTCATAACCAAACTGACCAAATATCAATTTTCCTTTGTTCTTGAAATATACCACATAAATACTGCATTTGATCATCAACTTAGACTTCATAAATAATTTACTTCAAAAATATTCCTCCATAAGACTATCAGTTGCTGAGGTGTTCAGTTTTCAGGGAAAGCATTTATTTACTGCATGAGCCAAAGAAGGCTGGTAAAGACTTGGCTAAAAGCACCACATGGAGAAAATTATGGTAATTGTATTAATGTTCAAATCCACAGCACTCGATGCTCAGACCTTCTAAAAGGTTTTGTGCTATACTGCCCACATCTTGACAGGCACTGAGGCCGCTAGAAATGTTTAACACTTTATAGGGAGGCTTCTGAGATTCATTTTTTATAATTCCAAGAATTGCTAAAAAAAATATGTGAGGAAGCTTCCAGAGGCGTTTCTGAAATTTAAACTATGAATAAACACCATCTTAAATGTCTTCTGCTTTGGGTTCACACTGAAACTCCAAGTTCAAGTGGCCAGAAATGAAAATCAAAATAAATGCCATACAATTGATTTTGATGAATGGGTAAGTTTTAATCCATATACAGCAAATTCTAGTTAATGATATGTCTCCTTAGGACACTCATTAAAAATCCATTAACTTAATAGGCAAAATCTAATAAAGTTACTCTGGAAATTTTCTGCTAGGTTAACATTATGGACTTTTAATGAGTATTTTTTTGTAGGTACTACTCTATTAGCATAGCTAATATACTAATTAAACATATATCTTGTACAAGATGAGAAAAAAGGAGGAAAATGTCAAAATAATCAGAAAGTAAGAGTTAAAGGGGGATCCAAGTCACCTAAGATGCTACTAAACCAGCAAAGATCCTTTATAGTTTTGAAAAATCAGAGGCGCTGAGCTCATAGGACCAGCTATCTCAATCATTCACTTACCCACCTACTAATCACACTGTAATTTCAATGCAAGAATATGGCATGCCCTCGACTAGAATAGTGCATATAGAGGTAAATAGTGAATTACTGTGTGAAACAGCTCACAGTCTAGTATAGAATCAAGATAACATACTCCGTTCCAAAGACCAAAAATATCAAAAGTATTAGGGAGTTCTTATCTAATGCTTAAAAGATTTTAGGGTTACCTCTTCAGAGGGGGGAATGTTAGAGTAGCAAAAAGCCCCATTAAAAAAAGAAGAAAGAGTATGTGGAGTTATCAGAAAAAAAGTGATGGGGAGATATGGAAGGAGATGGAGGGGAGAGAGTGGGCATGAATTTGATCAAAACACTTTATATGCATGTATGAAATTCTCAGTAAATTATTTTAAAAAAGATTGCTTGAGATGTTCTGTATGAAATACTAAAAATTGAATAAAAAATGAATAATTTAAAAAAACAAGAAAAAAAAGGTAGTAGCTATAGGGGTTGGAGAGATGATGTAGAGGAACACTGGCTACTCTTCCAGAGGATCAGGCTTCTGTTCCCAGGACCCATATAGCAGCGAACAACCACCAGTAACTCCAGTTCCAGGGGATCTGACCCCCTCTTCTGGCCTCTGTGGGCATTGCACACACACAGTGCACTTATATACATGTAGACAAAGTACTCATACACACAACGATCTGCCTGCCTCTGTCTCCCAAGTGCCTGGATTGAAGGCATATGCCACTATGCCCAACAGGAAGTGGTAAACTACTGAAATTGTTCCCATTAATAATCTTTCACAGACAAGACTATGGTGCATGGGAGTGCTAGAAAACTTGTCTCAGTTTGTGCCATTAGAGTCAGAAATAGAATAACCCAGTTCCCATTTTGTGCACCAGACCCAACTTGCCTGGATTCCATCTGTTTTAAGCCCCAAAGCCCTTCCTCTGTCACTGGATTGTGATGATTCATCAAGGCAGGGAGCTCTTGGGGAGCCTGCAGAGCTTTGTGCCTCAGAAGTGAATGGTCCATTTTTAGCCCCTAAGACATCAGTGTTATGGATTGAATGGTGACTTCAAAATTCTTACATGCAAGCTCTAATGCCCAGTATGACTGCATTTAGATACAGGGTCTATAAGGGGGCAATTAATGTTAAATACGGTGATAAGAACAGCAGCCTGATGCAATAGGAACAGTATCCATCTAAAAAAGGTACCACAGCCTTCCCATCCTCAGGCACAGAGGACACATAGGCAAAATGACTGCCACCCACTAGCCACTAGAAAAAGCTTCAGAATGAAATCTACCTTGATGCCAGCTTTATCTCTAGAACTGTGAGAGATGGATTTCTGTGAATTTGACACACATCCTCCACTCCCAGTATTTTGAAATAGCAGTCCAAGCAGACTTAAACACCGGGGATAGCTCCACAGTTTTCTCTTGATTTTTGCCATTCTGGCATTGATCAAATAACTGTGGTTATGCCTTCCCCATGTAGTCAGTAGTCATTTAGCAACACCTATGTCAAGGTACTAAAGGGCAAGCTGATTAAGGACCCTGTCTTGCAGGGACTTCAGTTTGGATTATTTGTTGTTGTTTAGCTGCCCCCTTCCCCTACTGAGCTTGAAGTGTTGTCTAAAACCTGAGTCTGGTTAGCAGAAGTCCCAACTCACCCACTATGTAATGGTTCAAACACTCCTCTAAGCCCTAGGAAGGTAAAAAGTTTGGCTCTCTTGCTTAGTCTTTGTCTCAGCCATTGACTCCAAATGTCCTTGACACTGAGACTGAGAATCTTAAAACCAACCATCAAATGACTTAAGGCATTAATACATGTCTATGATTTGTGAAGATAACACATTCCTCAGACTGATACTCTACTACATCCCTGGTAAAGTATGGACACTTGCTCCAATCTAGTTCAAGTTGGCTCTGAGTACTGAACATTCTAGTGATGCCTAACTCTACCAGAGGCCAGTTGCAGGGTCACACCAGCTCTCTCAGTATATCCCAAGGGAACAAGGGGACTATTGATGTAGACTGTACATCCTCATAGTGGGTAAAGGAGCTAAATTTCAATTTCCTATCTGTAAAACAGGAATCATAAAATAAATATTTTATGAGCATAAAGTAGGATAATATATACCAATTGTCTAACAAAGGACCAGGTACATAGATGATGACTAGTAACTGATGCTGAGTCTTCTTCCTTTTTTCCCTTATGACAAGTGTCCCGCACCCCACCACCTTCTCTACCAGTTCATATCCTCAGAGAGTTTTAACTGAGCCACAGAAATCCCAGCAGAACTCTTCAGCACACTATCCTGGCTCCACTCCTTTTTTTAGATTAGGCTAGAAGCAGTTGAACAGGTTACAGACAGCATGCCAGGCCCAGCGGTGTATGTTATGTTCATCTTCCATGTTTGTGTCCCATACGCATGAGCTTTTCATGAAGTAGTCGTGAGTATTCCACCATGGAAAAGTAGGTTCAGCTGACATAATCTACTAAGTGACATAGTTATCAAAGGGGGTCATAAAATGCAGCAAATTTACCAATATTTAAAAACACAGTTCTCAAGTTTCAGTGGGCTCACAGGTGGGCACTTGGCTACTGAGACAGTAACTATGTTTTCTAGTCAGTTCTACAACCTAATGAGGCCTTCTGAATGAGCAGTCATCAATAAGAGAGAATCAGAAGTGAGGTTACACTGTCTCTAAAGCAACGTGCATGATGATTCCTTGGTCCCTTTGATTCTTCCTTCTTGCTGGCTGGGAACTGAAGTAGCTAATGTGGAAAGAAGTTGTGTTGAAGACTTGCAGAACTATAGTAATGCGCTTTTTTTCTACTCTCTTCCATAAAAGAGGAAGGGCTATCTTTCATAATCCAATAACGTCTAGACCTCGTTGCAACTTCATACCCTGCACACTAAACAATTCAGGAAGTTTTCTACTCAAACAGGTATGATTGCTTAACTGAAGAGAGCTTACTAGAAATAGAAGTAGTTACTATGGGAAATAAATATCTTCCTGTGAAATGACCTTGCAAACATTGAATGTAAGACTGTCATAATTATATGTACCTTATACTGAAACTCTTTCACAAGGTAAACATCTATCAGCCACTCAGGTCTGTCTCATATACTCAGTCTGTGACATGAAGGTGTTATTCACCAAGCATTGGCGCATATCCTACTTTCTGGCTTGTTCCTGATTCTCCTAATTTTGGTCTTTCAATTTTATTTTTTTCTTATTCTTGTCTTGCACCAAACTGATAAAGATATTTTCCTACTTATGTCAACAATTCATATGCATGTCTTTAATGACGCCATGCCCAGCTGTTCTATGCAAAGATCTTCCCAAGTAAGCCCCACTATTGAATGTCTACTTGAAGGCACATCTTCACAGCATGCCTCACCACCCACTTCAAACAAATCCTTGGACTAAGGCCTTTGGTCACTGTCTACCCATCATAGTTGGCATGTTTTGGAAAACCTAGTATTGGAAAAAATGGCTGAGTTCCTATAAGGTAATTCAAACAAAACAAAACAAAAACCACAGAGAGCCTCATATAAACATATAGAGGATCACCCTGGGTATTCTGTTCCTTTACCTATTTTGCTGTAATTATCTCCAATGAGGTCTTCCAAACCAACCATCTTCCAGAAGCTGTCATCCCAGCCTTTCTCTGCAGAGTATGTCCATTTACACACCAGGGAACAGAGAGACCTAGAAAAAATGGAAAGAGGTATGAGCAATATGAGCCAGCTTCCTTCAGATTTTGCCAAATATCTGATGAGATAGCCTTATTAATATGCTAGCAGGAGAGTAAACTAAGTAATTATGCATTTCTGCTTAAATATAGGGCTCCATGTATGCCTGGTAATAACTGCTACTGCCTTCTTTCACTTTCAGAATAGTCTCAGCCCTTTATGTGGATTCTGATCAAATGACCTCCCATGTAAACATCTGCATTTATATCTAGATTAATTGACATGTATGGGATAATTAGTAATTACAACACTTATTAGCTATCTGATGAAACTGTTTCAATTTAGATATAATATTAGAATGGATATAGCGAACAATGCTCCTTACCATTCAGATGTATATACTGAAATATTCATGTATGAAGTGTCATGACATTTGAGGTTTGCTTCAAAATAATGTGGGATGGAGAACTGAATGGTGCTGTGGACAGGGCAGGATTGACCTGGGTTGCTGGCCATGGGGCAGAGGGATGAATTTATAGGAGACCCCAGCTCAATATACTTTTGGATATTTTCAAAGGTCTCAATAATAATGCTTCTTTTAAAGATCTATTATAAAGTAGATAACATGGTCACTGCAGTCTAGATCATTATGTCATAGCAGTAAGACTTGAAGATTAGAAGGTATTTTCCTTTCTCAGCTTTGTTTCTCATTAAGTCACTCAATATTCTCTAATTCTTTTAAAAACAATTTGCATTTCTCTTGAAAAATTCATGTTCTTACACACTTTTGTGTTTGCTGTACCCCTAGCAGAAGAACTCTCCCCAGTCTTCACCCTGACAGTTCAAACTCTTACTTCAACCTAGGCTAAGATTCCAATTTGGGGTTATGTATTCCTTTTTTGACCTCCCAGAATGAGTTATGTTGCTTCTGTTTTCAGTGTCAGTGATCAAACCCAGGGCTGCAGGCACTTTAGGCAAGCACTCCACTACCAAGCCACACCTCCATTGCTGTATTGTGACATAGCAATGCCTGCTTCTGCCTTCTTTTGGCCGTTGCTTCCCTTGCATGCTCCATTCTATAGTACTATAACGTTTCCTATAGTTGGCCTTGATTTCTCACTTCTCTTTGATTTATTCTTTCTGGAATGATCTGTCCCATCATTCTTAGTTAGGTATCAGAAATCAGTTCAGATTGTTCCTTTTCGGGAAGCCCCAGTGGAGGGCACATTAGGTCGAAAGCCTTTTCTCCATGTGCCAATCTTAACACATCCTTACTTACACTGACCACAGCAGCTGTATACCTAATTCACGTCTCCATCTTGCCACTAAACCAGCATCCACACCTGTCCTGCTTGCCTCTGCATCACTAATATCTAGCACAGGACGGTATGTATCTACCACAGTGAATACTGATTGAATAGAAGCATTAAATGGATTTTTTTCACCTTGCCACTGAGAAATAGTAAACTTAGGGAGACCATAGTAATGTAGTTTGAAGGATACAACAAAACCTATTTCATGAGGCCAAAAGTCTAGATACATCTCATTCAGTCATGCTCACTCAATATTTGGTAGAAACTACGATCTGGTGCGTGGTAGGCCCTAGAGGAAAGTAGCATACTAACAGCCTGGACTTTTGCTCTCCCCAAAACTGAAAGTTTAACCTGGGAGACAGATATTGATCAGAAATTACACCTAAAGTCATGGAGTAACAAATACCATAAGAGTGCTAAAGAAAGTATATGGGGAAACAAGAGCCTTTAGCAAGAAACTCTGATGTAATCTATGCTGGAAGTAGGGTGTTTGGATGGTAGAGATGAAAGTATCAAGGATGGATACACAGAGTTAGTAATATTTTTACTAAGCACTAACTTAAAAATAAGGAAGACTGGTCCAGCAAACTGTCACTATTGGTACAGTAGTGACACTTTTATCTTGGGATAAACAATAGCTATCTAATTGGAATTAAGTCCTGCTCAAAGGGAGGGAACTCATGCGTGGTAAACATAGCCAAATACACATGGCTGGAGAGGTCATAGAGTCTAGAGAAAAATCTACTTTTGCCACGTCTGCAGACCAACATAATTTCTTTATCCTAAATATGCATCCTCATATTTACAGACAAGTGTGCCTTGCACCCCTTATCAAAGAAGCTTCTTTTTGCAACAGACAGACTACTGCAGAGTTACAGAACTGGTCAAACATAAAGAATAAGTGTCTCTGAGATACTTAACTTTAGGTGACATATCTTTAATACATCCTCTACACATAGGCTGAATGCATCTCTCAACTCTCATCAGAGACGTTTCCTTATGCAGAAGATGGTGATTAACACAGAAACCCACAATTGGTCAATGTGCAGAGACAAGAGGCTGTAGAGTGCTTGTCCCTGAATAGGGCACCTATTTCAAACCTCTGCTTCCCAAGGCTCAGGGATTATTGTGGAAGAGGAGGTGAAAAGACTGTATGAGCCAGAGAGTTGAATGACCACAAGGCAACAGTCTTCCAAAAAACTGGTCAGTTACTCACATGAACTCTCACCAATGGTGACAGCATGCTCAAGTCCTGTACAAGCTCAAACCAGACAAAATTCCAGTCTAGACAAGGGGAAGTAGATAGGAAATTCCAACCCAACCTAAGGAACTTTTGGCAGTTGATGGCTACTGATGGGGGAAAGATAGTATCTTATAGGAATGGGACTATTGGTGGGCCCAGTGGATGAACCCATATTAAAGGACATTTGGGAACACAAATTAGATTCTATAGGCTTCACTATAATATATACATACATACATACACACACATATATTTAAGAGAGGACATTAAATTGGGTGGGAATAGTCAGGGGAGATGTGGTTAGAGGAGGGGATCTAAATACTATCAAACTATATTGTATGAAAATCACAAAAACAATAAAAATGTATTAATAAAGTAAAGATGAGGCACAGATGGGAGAACATGTCAAGTTGTGCTAAGTGGCCGGAATGTATTAAAGGAGTGCTTGCACCAATACAAACTTAAGATCATTTTTCAGGGTATGAGGACAGGAATCAACTATGAGGCATGCTCTGAAGAGTACATGGCAGCCAAACTCCTCCTTGAATGAAGTGTGAAATTCCAGTTTTGGGAAGAGCAAAGCCATGAGCAAAAGACAAGGTCAAAGAACCGTTTCCAGTGATCCTAGCATGTGGACAGCTCTTCACCGGCCAATGCCCCATAACATCCAGAGATTTCTGTGTCTCTACTTTGGCAATTCCTTACATTTTAATTGATTATTGTTGTTTTCACTCATTTTTGCCCACTTGGTAAATTCCAAGTCATCTGTATGATTCATTTCTATTATAGCTTCTTCAGGGAAAGTTTGTCCTCTACCTCCAAGCCAAAATCATGATCTTTCCTTTGAGTGCCAAGGTAAATTGAAAATGCTATACTGTCATTCTAAACAACTCAGGATGGTTGAATCCATGACCCTATATCTTTTTCTCCTCTGCATATCCACATCCTTTAACATGTAACTTGACAGTGGAGCATCATTCTTCTACCCCTATACTGTGGAAAGGGCCTCCTTTCTAACCTCTAGAGTTTGGGTTCTGATTCAAGACCACCTTTAGCCCAAGAATGACTCAGAAGTGACTGCATATCAGTTCTTGGTCTAGGTCTGAAGATGCTTTATGTGGTTTTCCTTGTTCTCTTGAACTTCTGTCATAGCCACAAGAGGCTCATGCTGAGCTCGCCCAGTGATCTCATGCAGAGGATCAGAGAGATGTAGAGACAGCAAGGCCAGGCCTAGTCAGGTTTGGATCACTCCTATAGATTTTCTTGGATCAAATATTCAAGATCCCAATGTGTGATTCCAGTTGAGATCAGAACCAACCACCATTGCACAGACTAAATAATCTGCCCATGAAACAAATACTCACCCCTGGGTTCAACTACTGAGCCTTGGTGGTGGTCTGCATTTCAGCAATTATTAATTCAACACTTCAAAATATAATTAGTTCAAATATGTTATTTCTCCAGTAAAAAGAGAGAATAATAATCCCTTATTTCTTACAAGTTAAAATAATAGTCAGAGAATCTTCTTTGGGTGAAATTACCTGAACTCCAAGGCAGAAACTCCACCCTGCATATGAATTATTCAAACACAATTAGGGGGTCTTTCTCTCTTTCTCTCTCTCTCTCTCCCATCTCCACCCCCCACTCTCATTTAGGTTTTTGCATGATAGATCTCTTTCTTTAGCCCCAGCCGGCCTAGAACTCACATTGTAGTCAAAGATAGTCTCAAACTCACAGTTATCCTCCATGATGCTAGGATTACAGGCATGAGTCACCATGCCCAGCTAGTCCATTTCCTTTGGATCTCTTTAGAATCGACTGGTAGTTACACGGATGTGCCTTGATACAGCAGAATTAGCAATGTTTGAAGAGTGCCTCTGAGGTCATAGGCTCTTAGCAAATCTTGAGAGAAACGCAGGACTTTATCTTGTCAGTGAGTAAAGACACAGTACTAGTAACTGAATAAAGGTATGTCTTGCCCCAGGATTCTACTAAGATCAAGGTTTTGAAAATTCTAGAAGTATTTTACTGGGCATCCTGCCCTCCTGAGACAGTTGTTCACCATTTGGCAATCTATACCTGCCATCCCTTAATGCCAACTTCCCCTAGAAGCCTTATAGGATTAGATTTAGAGATAAGTGCCTTCAGTGAGTAGGGGCTACATTGGCAGGCTGAGTTGTTTCCAAGATTGGCAGCCAGGTAAGAGTGCTGCTCTGGCCCAGGAAGCTCTCAAGAGGAGAAAAAGGGCCACTAACTGCTGGCCAGGTTGACCACAGTCAACCAAAAATGTCAAGAAGGGAGTGTTGTTATCTTTCATTGCTTTCAGATATTTTAATACCAAGGATACTCTAAAGCTTACATGTATATCAAAAACATAGATTCCCCCAGTAAGTAAAAACAACACAATGCAACACAAAACACACAGTAGCTATAGCATAAAAGAGAGCAAGCTGAGCTGAG